TTTTTTCTTAATTTATAAAATAAAGTAAAGAATATGTAATCATTCATTTTATTCTTTATATATATTTTTATTATTCAATTATGTAAAACCTCATAGCATATGCCCATATTAATTGGCATCTATAACATTTGCATATTTTATTATTGTTCATTAATCCGCAGCCTTAATATATTTGCCTTTGACAATTCATATTCAGAATGCCGATATGGCTGGCTGACGTTACAGCGGCGCATTTTTGGCATAGTTTTCGATTATTTATGAAGGCGATAGCATATGTTATGCTAAAGCCGATAAGCCAAAACAATCGAGTTGTAGACACATTGGCGCATATATTGGCTTAATATTTCATTAGCCGGGCTAAAGCGCACGAGCTGGCTGGAGCAAGTGTGAACGCGTTTTGGGGCGCTTATCAGCCGAATGGGCGGTTCATTGTCTATTTTTGGCCTACAGGGTCACAGCCTTATTCGCCTGTTACGTGGGCATCACAATTAAAGCGAAACAACAACAACAAAACAGACACAAAACTAATAAATAAATAAATAAATGCACATGCAAAGCAATTTGTGGCGTCTGGCATGAGGCGCTTTGTGGTTCCGTATGGGTTCGAGTTAATGCCACCTAATTGATCGGCTTCACACACACCTTTCACCTGATGAGGCAGTTCATTTTTATTTATTTTTTTTTTATTATTATTTATTTTTTTTTTTTTTTGGTTCTTTTTTGGCCTGCTACACGCAATAATTTTGACCAAAAATTCACCATTGCGAATGCATCAATCATTCCGCAATGAATTCGCCAGCGCCTCGCACCATATATAAAGCATAAGCGCCCACTGCGCTCTATCTACAGTGCTTGACGAGCCGTACAGAGCCTCAACATGAAACAGTTCTGCAACGTTCTAGTGCTGGCCAGTTTGGTCATCTTAGCTCAAGTAATTGACAGTGTGTGGGATAAGCAAATAATCAAGAATACAATTTCAAGTGTCGTTTCGTTAACTGCAGGCCAAGCCGAGCTCAGTGCAAACGCAGCTGCAAGGCGCCCTGGATAAATATCTGGTGCAGGCGAACAGCCTGGACATGGTCTCGGCGGATGTGACCTCACAGTGCTTCGCCTTGTATTTGCCGATGCTGAACGAAGTGGCCGCCGAATTCTCCAGTTCGTATCAGGCCTGCATTACCACCTACAACAATGAGCTGGCCAATTTGACAGCGCAGGCTCAAAAGGATCAGGTGGTCTACCAGCAGGACGTGGCCGGTCTGTGCAGTGCCTTCACCAGCTGCAACAACAGCACCAGCAATGACAGCACAGCCTTCTTCAGCTGCTACGCAAAAAAAGTAAGTGGAAGTCAAGAAACTCACTCAAGAAAAAAAAAAAAAAGAAAACTCTGACTAATTTTGCTTTAGGCTCAAGCCGATGTGTCCATCATCTATGACATTGCCACCAATGCAGCCAGCACGGCCAACACTCTGGCCGAGTCCATCAAAGCCAATCAGGACTTGGAATATCAGTGCACCAATACCACCGAGAGCAACTATGTGCGCGACACTGCAGCCACATACGATCTGCTCGACAGCTGCCTGAAGAACGGTCTGCCAACCACATCGACAGCTGCCCCAGCGCCGACCACTACGCAAAGTCCTGCTACGACTGGCGATGACAATGCTACCGGCTCGACTGCTGGCAGCTCAACAACTACAGTGACAGCCTAAAATGTCTATATGTGAAGGGCATTTCAATTAAATAAAATATAGAAAAATATATGAGCATTTATTAAAAAAACAAAACCAACAATGTGAAGCTGCATTTCGTTATCATTCGTTGCTTGGCACGTATATTGCATTTGACAAGCATTTCACTCTCTTTCTTGTACGTCAGTCAAGTGTCGCCTGCTGCAATGTCTGGCAACGCTCAAATGCGGCAACTTTTGAAGCACATAAATTGGGCAACTCGCTTTGTCAGCCAAGTCGAAAAAATGCTGTTAAGTGCATTGTTTAAGCTGTCAATTAGCTGTCACTTGATAGTTCTTTATATTGTTGAAATATTTGATGGTGTTGCCACTACCAATTGGCAGCTCCAGCTTATTGTTAAACTGTCAGAAGCACAGCATCTACCTCTCTTCAATTTCATGCTATAAGTTGTCAAGCAGATTGTAAACTTTGGCTTTTATTTGAAAGAGCATAAAGACAACATTTTTATCCAAAAATTTACATTACCTTAATATTTTTCTTAAATTATATAAATATACTATATTGAGAAATAATAAACATAATATTTA